TATATATACCTTTATTTCTATGACAATAATTTTTTTGAAATTTTGACTAAATTTATTTTTCCATTTTTATAACTTTCTAAAAGAAACTTCTTAAATAAAAATAACATTTAAATATAAAAATTAATATTTTCAGTAAAATTTTTATATAGTTATTTCTACCAAAAAATAATGGTGATGCATTTCCTTAACCATATATGCTTAGGTTGCATCCAAATGGTACCCAAATCCTAGACAATATATTTCCATGTCTTCAAATGCCAACGTAAAGCTCATTCTCTTATCATGTATGCGAATTTGAAATATACTAACTTTAATTCGTTCATAGCATTAGAAGACTTTATTTCATACTAGATTAATGGGATTTAATTAATCCATGGACATCTAGGATTGGTTGTGCATGGATCTAGCTGTATGGGCCATTGATAAATAGAACAATGGTTTCTAAAAATTTAACCAAATTGAGATCGCATTTGTAAGGGAACGAGTTGTCGTGCTTAGTTGGTGCATGAATCCATGTGTAATGGAATTTGGTTCTTCATACAAGTGGAGTTCTGCGATGGGGGAGCGGACCACCAATGTGTGGAACGCGATCCTACAATGAATGGAGCTTGATCCTAGCCAAATAAGATCATGGTATTGTTTAGATGGGAGCGAGACTCAACATTAAATGGGATCTCGTTCTTGTTGTCGACAGGAGCGTGATCCCATATTACATGTAACGTGTTCCTGTCAAATAGGGATCTCGATCCCAATGTATCAAGATCTCGTTCCCTATTCAAACGGGATCTCGCTTCCTAATCAAACGAGATCTCATTCTATAAATGGAACGTGTTTCCGTTACATAGGGATCTCGATCCCAATGTATCGGGATCTCGCTCCTGTAACTTCTACCATCATCGGAACTCGCTCCCCAAGCTCCGGAAGTTCGGGCAGTTATCGATCCAACGCTCTCGGAACCGGAGCCACTCCCGCTCCCTGTCCCGATAGCTATGATTCTATCCTATAAAGGTTGGAAAATGAATGGTATATTTCTATGGTATCAAGAGGGTGGACAAAAATGAACTTTATTGATGTGAAGGACACATTGGTAGGGATGGGTTGGCCCAGCCCCAGGAAATGTCGGCCGGGTGACCTCTTCCTGAGGGACTAGGCCGATCCCTAAGCCATGGGCCATGGTAGGCATGGACTACCCTAAACTGGGCCAGCTAGACACATGTTACTAGGGGCCCTTTGGCCTGGACAAGGGCCAGTTGGGCTTGTCTGGACCCTTGTCAGCTCAAATCAGGACTAGGGTTGGCCAGCTAAGCCCAGTATGGTTGCAAGTCCTTGACTCTGATAATATAAGAATACAAAAACTTCGATAAAATGATTGCTATAATTTTCAAAATAACAAACAAGAGCAAGTAACTCATTTTTTAATATATACACACATTTCTCCCATCTTTTCATCGTTACTTATAATCTTAAGACATTAGTGTCCTTATATAATGAGAAAATATCATTTAAGTGGTTGAAGCCCCTATCAAAATTATGAAAGAGGAAAAATTATCTCCATTGACATTTAATGGGTTGTTTCTTCATTTTCATTCTTAGTAGTATCTCCTCAAAAATCTTAAAAAGTACTAAATTGCCTTTGTTAAGGATTAGGAAGCTTACACAATCAAGGGCATTTCAGTAATTTGATTCCAAGATACCGAACCAATGACAAAATGGCCCTGCTTATTCAAGGTTCTAAATAGAAAATATGTTGTTTAGAAGTCTTAGTGAAGAACAAGGGCGGTTTTTTTTGGATAAGTCGAAATATCAAGACATAGGGAGCTCAGATGCGAAAGCGTTTCCCACATGGACACAATGGCGGTTGTTTATGTCATTTGAACACATGGATACCAAATCACAAAGGTATCCATAGTTGTTCACCATTACTAACCCTGAACAATATGTTCTTCATTTGTAATTCTAAGCAAGCATCAAGGGGTTGGGAACTCTGGGGACTTTCCATTTTTTAATGGAAAAGGTTTACATAAGGTGTCAAACTTTTACTAGAAGAAAAAGTTTATATACAGCCTAGGCTCTAAACAATCAAATTAGAGCCTACTTCAAAAATTTCACTAGAAGAGGTTTGTTTGATGCCCAAATATGTTCAAATTGATCATCTCGTTATCAAGGTGTATGGACATGAGAAGAAAATGGATTTCAAGTTTTGAAAATAGTGTATTTTATAACACATTTTTGGATCGTCAATTTTCAAGATTTTCAAGTTTACATAGATCTGTCAATCTACACTATTTTTGAAGCTTTAAACTTTATAAATAAAGATGAAAATATAGTTTAAGGCTATTACAAAGATTTCCAGTATTGAAACCACATTTCTCAATTCCATTTGAAGGCAAGCTCTAATTTGATTGTTTAGAGCCCAGGTTCTATACAAACCACACCCTTTACTAAAAGAGTAAGGTGCACCTCAAAAATCTATCCAAAAAATGTTGTTATGACGTTGAAATACCATATAAATTGATCATCTTGACTTAAAATATAAACATGTGAAAAAAAGATTTCAAAATTTAAAATTAGTAAATATTGTAATACATTATTTAGTTTGTTTATTTTTTAAGTTTTAAAGTGTTTGCAGATATGCTCGATATACATTTTTTTTAACTTTAATTTTATAATTTAGAGTGAAAATATATTTTCAGACTATCGTGAGTATTTCCAGTATCAAAACTACAAGTTTGAGTAGGTGCCCTTTACTTTGATTATTTAAAGATGGATAGTTGATACAAACCACACCCTTTGTTAATAGGTGAAGCTTACGGTGTGACCTTAAATAATTACAATGCGCACCTCCACATCTTGCCAAAACATGAAGTTTCGGTGTCAGGAACTCTTACAATAACCTAAAAATCTATTTTTATCTCTAATTATGAAACCTAAAACTCAAAAATAATATAGATCAACTAGACCAATAAACACTTAAATTTTGAGAGCTGACGGTATGGATAATGCATTATAAAATATATTATTTTCAAGATTTAAAATCTATTATTTTTGTCATAAATTCAAAGACCGAAATGATCGATTGAATGATTTCTCAATACCGAAACCACAATTTTTGGTGGATTTTTTATATGCATCTTGCCGTATCTACATTGTGAAGCTAACACCTTGCATAAAAACTATAAACTTTTCCCTTTTTTTCAATTATAGAAGGAAAATAGTTTGATAGGGCTGTGGCCATATCAAATAAGTAAAGCCTCAGCTCATAACTCCTGAAAAATTATAATTTAAGAATTAGAAAACCTCTACATTGATATCTTGGCTTGAATATTATTATAAATGTAAAAAAAAAAGATTTTAGGCTTTAAAAATAGTGCATATCTTAACAAATTGTCTAGACCGTCTATTTAGCATTAAAAATAGGGAAAATTACAAAAAACACCCTAAAATGCATTATCTATGCAACTTACCCCACCCCAATCTTTTCTCACACCTGTTTGCCCCAAACAATCTTTCCTCGCGAAAACCCCCCAAGGTAAAAAGTTCTTATTTTTTGGATGAAAATGCACTTTCCATACAAACCAAATCAATTCACGGATCCCAAGTAGAGTCATGCCGGAGCGCAGTATACTGCTGCCGAAGTGGAATGTCAAAAAGCAAGCGCGGTGCTACATTGCCGGAGCGAACTGCCCGAGCGCATATTTTCACTGCCGGAGCACTTTCTCAGAATGCCAGAGCGCTGTGGGTCAGACAAATGACAACCGGAGCGCACATTGGACTGTCAGAAAGTAGTTCTCCATTGCCGGAGCGTTGTGGCTCCAGAGGCTTCATTGCCGAAGCATGTAATTGCACTACCGGAGCGAATTATCAGAATGTCGGAGCATTGTGGGTCAAACAAAGCACTGTCGGAGCTCACATTGGGACTGCCGGAGCTTGTCTTTACTGTGGGAAACAGGAGAGAGAAGCCGTGTGAAAAGGAATAAGGGTACTTTAATCTTATTTCATGTTACTTTTGAGTTGGGGGGTTTTTGCGAGGAAAGGTAGTTTGGGGAAAAAAGTGTGAGAAAAGTTTGGGGTGGGGATAAGTTACATAGATAGTTCATTTTAGGGTGTTTTTTTTGTAATTTTTTCTTAAAAATAAGAAAAATTACCAAAAAAAAAAACCCTTAAATAGACTATATATGCAACTTGCCCCACCCCGATCTTTTCTCTCACTTTTTTCCCCAAACAACTTTTTCTCGCAAATAACCCTCCTATCCAAAAGTAGCATGAAATAAGACTAAACTAGCAGTGTTTGTTTTCACACGGTCTTTTCTCATGTTTTCACATACGTTTCGGCAATACAAACACGTGCTCCCGCATTGTGAATGTGCGCTCCGGCAATGCAGGTTTGAGCTGTAGTGCTCCGGCATTATGAGAACTCGCTCCGGTAGTGCAAAGACGCGTACCGGCATTCCTTTTTGGCAATGAAGTCTCTAAAGCCACAGTGCTCTGACAATGAAGGACTGTGCTCTGGCATTATGAATGTGCACTCCGACAATGTAGGTCTGAACCACAACGCTCTGGTAGTGCAAAGACAGGCTCCAACAGCGCAAAGACGCGTTCCGGCAGTACGCTACTTGGGACACGCGAATTGATTTGGTTTGTATAAAAAAGGTATTTCCATCCAAAAAATAACTTTTTATCTTGAGGGTTTCTACGAGAAAATATTGTTTTGAGAAAAAAGTGGGAGAAAAGATTGGGGTTGGGGTATGTTATATGAATAGTGAATTTGAAAGTGTGTTTTTTATAAATTTTTTTAAAAAATAAGCGTTCATATATCCAAAGATCTCCGAATGACCTATACAGTTTTTTAGTTTCAAATTTATTGTGGGTGTGTTGGAGGCCATCGTGTGTTTGAAAGTTCTTTCGAGCTATATAATCATAAATATCATTTTGAAGACGGGCCCTATCCGTTCTTTTCAAATGGATTAGCTTTTTTTTAAGTATTAATGGCGGGGTGTCAGTGACTAGGGTGAGGGGTGCGGCGACCAAGACCCTAAGCCCTTTCCCAACGCTATCTGTCTCTCTCAGCCATGTTATCCACTTATTCGTTGACAAAAATCTCTTCGATTTACTTAAAAAATAAATTATCTTCGATCTCAACAGATTAATCAGATCATTCTCGACACTTCCTCTCCAATTTTTTATGGCACTTGTTCCCTCTCTCTTTCTCTTTTATTAATCAGATCATTCTCGACACTCCCTCTCCAGTTTTTTACAGCACTTGTTAACAACTCTCTTTCTCTCTCTGGCTTCTGATAACACTATTTAATTCAAATTCGGACGGATCCCAAGTGCATTTTAAGCTGGTAGATGAATTTCAATCTCGTATTTGTCATGAATCCAAACCTCTCAGGTAAGGTGGGCAAACCAATTCCTTTTCTTGACTACCCATTTCATGTTTCCCTTTGTTTCCTGATATTGAAATGGGAAATTCCTTGACTGGAAAACAAAAGAACTCTCCTCAACCCTAATTCATATATTTTCTGCTCTTTGCTTTGCTCACATGTTTAGCTTTACTTTGATTGCTGCAAGTTCAGAAAATTCATTCAGGGATCTTACAATTCAATTCTATGTAGTGATTATTGGATCTTGGATTAGTCAGAGATATGGTGTTCTTTTTCCTAGTTTTGCATTCAGGTTTTTCTTTCCCTCTCAGGTGATTATGGTTATCGGGCTTTTGCTTAATAAGGAAATTTGAATTCATTTCTGCCTTTACATTTTCTTTTTCAATTACAGCAGTTATGCCTATTCTTTTTGGTTTAATCAGTAATATATTCTCCCTTGTTTTCTTGTGAGTTTTATCTTTTTATGCTTTGGGGTTTATTGGGGTTGATGATACAATTGGTTT